CTTTCTGCTCTTGAAACGACCGAAGGGGCGGATTGTTTCCTGCAAGCGCCACCTCCCCATTCGCTCCCCTTTTGTCTTCTCTGGGAGGGGCCAATCACCTCCAAGGTGTGGCTTTACTCCCAAGTCGACCCTGCTTTCTGAGTTGTTCTTGTCTTCTGACAGCTCTGCGCATGCGCACACTGGGAACAGGCTCCAGCTGTTCTTCTGCCTCACTGCTCTCTAGCTCCCTCTCTGCCTCCGACGCAGAGCCCTCGTCTGAGCTTTCCTCAGCCCCCAGGACTGGCCCAGGTTCCTCCCCAACCTCCTCACTCTCCGACTCTGCTGCCAGCTCCACTGGCCGCCGCCGGGCCACAACACTAGGAACGAAATGCCCCAAAAGCACAGCTTCCAAATGGCTAGTATTTGCTTTACGAGTTGACAGTATTAGTATACAGATTACAAACTCATGGTGGGATGCAACCGTTTTTAACAACCGGTTCAGTGAGCAGGCGTTTTGCGCTACACACACACACACACTCCTACGCCACACACTCCCGTGGCCCATTTGGGCCTAGGAGGCCTCCCTAAACTGACCTGGGAGCCAGAACGGGGCGCCTGGAGAGTCCTGGGAGAGGAGGGGCGGGGCCAGCTGGTCGTCAGAACTACCGGTTTGCGAACCAGATGTGAGATTAATGTCCAGTTCACCCGAATCGGCCCGAACTGGCTGAATCCCACCCCTGCAGGCAGTCCTCGAGATACGAGGACAAAATTTATACGGTTAAAGTGAGACATTTGCTAAATGAGTTTTGCTCCATTTTACCACCTTTCTCGCCACAGTTGCTAGGTCGCAAAAGGGGGGGGGGGGGTCACACGACCCTCCCCCAGGACACTGCAACCATCATAAATGTGAGTCAGTGGCCAAGGGTCTGAATTTCACTCCCGTGACCCAGGGATGGTCATAAGTGTAAAAAACGGTCGTCAGTCACTTTTTTTCCCAGTGATGTTGCAACTTTGGGCACTAAGTGAGCTTTCTCCACCCTTCTACGCCGGGATAGGTCTGGAAATTGGGCTGGTCGCCAAGGCCGACGGGGGAATTCGGCACGACGTTCCCAGAAATCCCAGTGGAATTTCTCCAAGAGAGAGAAATCTTCAAAGAATTCATCTACCGAATTAACACGCTGGGTAAGTCCCGGAAAGTGGAAATGAGTTTTAGTCAGGAAACCCCCAAAAGGCTTTTGGGACAGCTTTAACGTTTTAAAACCCCCATTAAAAAGTTTTAATTCTGGTTGAATCCTGTTATGTGTTAAGCAGGAAAACAAGAGACCCCAAATTACGACGTTATCTGTTACAGGAGGCTGACTGAATGAATTTTTTTAAAAAAAATATTTTGGGTTTTGAGAAATAGTAATTCTAAAGGAAAAAAACAGTATAATATTCCCATCAATTCCTATATTATGTGCAGTTTTTTAACACTTTACTTTTTAAAATTCATTTTCTGTAAGCCGCCCGGAGTCCTTCGGGATTGGGCGGCCTATAAATTCATCAAATCAAATCAATTAAGAAGTGTTGGGAAATGCCCATGTACCATATGTTGGAATCTCATCTCTGGATTAAAGCATGATTTCTAAAAAATAAAATAATAAAATAAAGTTTTAATTCTGGGTGAATTTGCCTGCAATTCNGTTTTTCCCACGGCACACCTTACACTATGTCACGGCACACTACTGTGCTGGGGCACAGTGGTTGAAAAACACTGATCTAAGGGTCTCATATTGACAGATAATAATGCTAGCATGTTTCTTTTTGAAACAGCGCAAAGTTTATCCGTTTAAGAAAACTCAGATCTGGCTTTTATAATTGATAGCTTCATCCTCATGCCAGACAATCCCTATCCCTTCATCAGCCACAAGCAAGAGGATTTCAGCTAGGTAAACTTTTAATGAGCAACGCTGAAAATAATTCAAGCTGGTTTAATAGATAAAAGGATTTAGCTTACCTTGCCTGATCTTGAAAAAGGCCATGCCCCCTCAGTCCCTGGTTGAGAAACCACCAAGAAAGGCCAGGATTGTTGGCTAGGCTAAAAGGTCAAGAAGAGACATCCTGAAAAAGAAGGAGCCAACCCATCTTCTTGTCAAGAAAACTACCTGGTTGCATCCTTGAATTCATTACTAGGGAGCAGCTTCCTGACTTTAGTTTGGGAGGTGGGCAACTAGGGCAACTTCCCAACCTGGACTTCAACTCCCAGAATTCCTGAGCCAGCATAGTTGCCTTGTTACCATAGTTGCCCATCTCTGTCTTAGCTGATCTCAAAAGGTAAGCAGATTGTGTCTCTTTCTTAATGTTGTCAAGGTTGTTGTTACCTAAATGTGGTCACCAAGGGTTTATTCTTTGCGAGATAAAAATAGCATGTGTAACAGTAAAACCTTTTCAGAGAAAATGGTGGGATTTTTGTTGTACACAAACACACTTCAAACTATTTATACTGCTGTTTATAAAATTGCACCTTTTCTTTTCTCTGTTAAGACACCTTAGATGAATACTTTGAGTACGAAGCTGAGGAATTCCTTGTCAACTTGGCCTTGTTGATTACTGAAGGCAGAACACCTGAATACTCGATTAAGGGCAGGACCGAAGGCTTCCACTGCCCTCCAGCACAGTCAAGTCAACCAACAACAAGTAAACATGAATGCAGTGACAGATTGGCCCAGGTAAGATGATCCATGCTGATGATGGTTGGCAAGTTGGTTCTTCTGGAAAATCAGCATTAAATGCTGTAACATAACATCAGTGACGCATTTAACAGCCCAACTGTGCTTAATCTCTGTTTATTTTAGGCAAGCAATCACCTTTAGGATGTGTTCGGAAAGTAAATACATTTGATTATAGGTCTGCCAAATTAATCTTTTTGTACATTATAATGGTGCCAGCTGGATTAACTAGAAACTCTTGGTTTTGATAAATGGAGTTACTGCTCAAAAATGCATTACAGACCTTCTTTTTCATTTTGCATTATTAGAGTTTAGAAAATTCTATATGGTTTATACACGGGCGGAGGATGTAATTGTAACATTGGGTTGTTTGATTCTTTTGTCCCAAGTGCCGTCAAGCTAGGCATACCCGATCCGAAGTTGCATTGCTGTGGAAGAAAAATATTCCTATCATGATAGAAGTGATGCTACTTCCAGACTGTTGCTATAGCGATGAAGGACCCACGACTGAAGGGAATGACTTAAATGATCCTGCAATCAAGCAAGATGCACTGTTGTTGGAAAGATGGATTTTAGAGCCAGTCCCACGGCAGTAAGTTGTTGTTGTTATTATTATTGTTGTTGTTGTTGTTGTTGTTGTGAGAGTTGGTGTGGACTGATGCTTACCACAATCTTCTACTTATGTCAACTTATCCCCTAGCACAGTGATGGCTAACCTTTTCGGTGCGGACTGCCGAAAGTCGTGCGCACCCATAATGCAATGTGTTCCCCACTCCCGCACATGCACGCATGACACTCATGTGTGTCCTGCCACTCGCACATGTGCATGTGACCCCTGCCTGTGTGCCCCATCCACCACACATGTGTGTGTGTGTCTCCTACATGCACCTTGCCCCCCGCGCATGTGCGGCAGAGACCTGAAAACCAGCTGGCTGGCAAGAGGCGCGCATGCATGCTCAGTGGAGCTGAGCTGGGGGGACAGCTCGCATGCCCGCAGAGAGGGCTCTGCATGCCACACATGTGCCATAGGTT